CTGAATTTCCCTCCTCCCTCACCCAAATCTGAAATGATACTTAACAATTGACTCATTAATATTGCAGCCAGCTGTAGAGATAATACAAAACAATTCATTAGGAAGTGCAGTAACAATCCTTATACCCTTTGCAAGTTAAAGTGAAATCAATGAGACATATAAATAGTTTTAACCAAGTCAGATTAACAAACCATTATAATTCCATTTCTCTGTTTGGAACTTTTCAAAGGACTCAAACATGACAAAGATCACACATCTCCGTTTATCTATAAAATGCAAACTTGGATTCATGTACTCTCAGTTTGTCTCAGTGTCATGCAGAGAAGAAAAAGTATTCTAATCCTTCCAGTTCTGCTCTATTAGCATTTCAAAAGAAAAAAAAGATGGGTCCTTCAGAAACAGCAGTTTCCCCTTGAAAACACTAATAATAAAGCAGGGAGACTTTCCTTATTGAAACTGAGTGAAGGTTGAAGGGTTAAATCGTCCCCTTCCCTACATGGCCCAGAGGCACACTGAGGCTGCATGGGTCTGCAATTTTCATTTTATAGACAAACATACGAGATGTTTGATCTTTGGCTCATCTCTTTTTGCCCTAAGTGACAGATGTGTGATGAGGTGGTTGTGGAAGTCATGAATCGACAAATGATTTACAACGCCGTCTGTGCCTGGGGAGCCAATAGAGATCAAAAGGCTCTTAATCATGTCAACAGGAATTGTAACATAAATGAACCAGAGCCTACCATCAGATGCATGGACTATATTCATTTGGGGTGAGAGTATACACACACATGGGTACAAACAGAAGAAGGGAGTTATTACGAAGAGAAACCAAAAGGTTCAGCATACCAAACCACAGATGTATTACATTAGATTGCAAACACAAAAGAAAACAAAATTATAGTGGATGTAGACCATGTATAAATGGGGATGAACGGGCAGAGCAAGGGGAATTATATATATGAAGCTTTAAGAAGGGCCATTGACTTTCTCTAATAAGTTAACAACTTCCAGTCTTTATTGAGCTCAAGCTTGACAGTGTCAGTTTCAACTAAGCAGCTTCATACCAGAGTGTCCCTTTGAACTATTTTTGTTTAAGTAAGGCACCCTTCAAGGGTAACACTTCATGCAACTGAAAAAGGCGGCTCTGGCACATGAAACTCTATGCCACAAAGGTTTCTCAGTCCTCCATCAGTCCTGGACAAAGGGTCGGGGTAGTGGTGATATTCATCCAAGAGGCGTTCTTCTTCAGGGCACTACCCATCCCAAAGATCTCTGGTATTGATTGTGTTGGCCTGGTCTTGGATGCTGAGGAGAGTTTGGCTATCTGGCTGGTGTACTGACAGCCTAGTGCACAAGCCGATAGCCTACCAAGCTTGGAGGTGCTAGCAGGCTGGGCCTTGGAACACTCAAGACTTATAGTTCTTGGTGACTTCAACATCCATGCCAATGCTACTGCCTCCTTTCAGGTGTCAGACCTGGTGTCATCCTCTCCCAGATTGTATCAGATCCCACTTATCAAGCAGGCCACACACTGGATCTGATTGTTGGCATGGGGAAGAAGAAGAGGAGGAGGAGGAGGAGGATATTGGATTTATACCCTGTCCTTTACTCGGAATCTCAGAGTGGCTTACAAACTCCTTTCCCTTCACCTCCCCACAACAGACACCCTGTGAGGTTGGTGGGGCTGAGAGAGCTCTGACAGAAACTGCTCTTTTTCAAGGACAGCTCTTGACAGAACTATGGCTTGCCCAAGGTCATCCAGCAGCTGCAAGTGGAGGAGTGGGAAATGAATCCCAGTTCTCCCAGATTAGAGTCTGCACACTTAACCACTATACCAAACTGGTTCTGATTGCTTTGGGTGGAGTGCCATGGTCAGATCCAGGGGGCGTTTCGTAGAAAAAGAGCTAGCGGAACTCATTAGCATAACTCAGAAGCATATGCCACACACCCTGACATCACCGAAAGTGTGTCATAAGGCCACACCCCCTGACATCACCGGAAGTGTGTCATAAGGCCACACACCCCACCCCCAACTGTCCCGACTGCCGGCGGCGGCCTTGCAGCTCCACTGCCGAGTCCCATGAGGGGCCCGGCGGTGGACCTGCAAGGCCGGCGGGAGTGCAAGGAAGCCCTGCAAAGGCCCTCCCTGGCCCCAGGCAGGCAAGGGTGGGGAGAGGCAGGGAGGAAGCAACTTACCCTCCCTCTTCTCCTGCCTCCTCCTGTCTGAATGAGGGCCGGAAGCGGGGCGGCCAGAAGCAGGGGGCGGGGCTTCGTCATGTGCCCCGCCCCCGTACCTCACCCGGGGGAACTGTGATCCCCCGCGTTCCCCCCCGAAATGACCTCTGGTCAGATCATTTTATCCCGAAGTCCTGGCTGGGTACTCCAGCCCCCTTCTGTCTAGGCAATGAGCTGATTTATGCTCACCTGCTGAGCCTAATGAACCCAATGGTGTTCTAGAATGTTCTGCAGGATCTGATGCCCCACAGTGACTCAGTATATGTGCCGATAGAAGATTGGTACACCCATCTTTCTGAAGCCATCAATGAAATCACCCCCTGACATCCCCTTTGCTCGCACCCCAAATTAGCCCCATGGTACACCTTGGAGCTCCAGAGGATGAAGCAGGAGCTTACACAACTAGAGCAAGTTTGGCAACGGTCTCATGATGAAGCCATAAACATCCTATAGGATGTTTATGAAATCCTATGAGATAGCGGTGAAGACTGTAAAAAGAGAATTTTATGCAGCCTCCATCACATCTGCTAGCTCCTGCCTGGCACAATTATTTAGGGTAATTAGGCCATTAACCTCTCTCTCTCCGGGAGAACCCAAGAAGTTAGTAATCTGGCCATCAGCTGTGAGGCTTTTGCAAGGTTTTTTGTGGATAAAGTCTTGTCACTCCGCCATGACCTACCTGCCAACATTGATATAGTGTGTGAACCGGAGTCCCCTTGCCCATCTCTGGATCCAATATTGGACAACTTCAGCTGACACTCTTGGGCCAATATTGACAGGATTCTGGGTGCTGTAAAGCCCACCACTTGCCTCTTAGACCTGTGTCTATCATGGCTGGTGAAAGCCATTGGTGATGGAATGTGGAGCCCCATGATGGACATTATAAAGTTCGGGGGTCTATCCAGGGAGACTAAAAGAGGCTGTGGTAACATCATTCTTTAAGAAACTATCCATGGATCCCCAAGAGGCAATCCTCTCTCCAACATTATTTAACATCTATATGTGCCCTCTCACCCAGCTGATGTGAAGTTTTGGGTTGGGTTGTCATCACCACATAGATGACACCCAGCTGTATCTGTTGATGGATGGATGGCCAGATACTACCCCAGCTATTTTGGCTGAGTTTCTGGAGGCCGTGGTTGGATGGTTGAAACAGAGCAGGCTGAGATTGAATCCATCTAAGACAGAGGTCTTGTGGCTGGCTGGGTGGGATTCAGGGTTAGGGTGTCAACTCCTGGCTCTTGACGGTGTACCTTTAACACCAGTTTCAACCGACAGAAGCCTGGCTGTGCTTCTGGATGCCTCCTTATCAATGGAGGCCCAGATTGCAAACATTGCCAGACTGGCATTCCTTCAGCTACACCAGGTCAGGCAACTGGCTTCCTTCCTGTCTCACCTCAGCCTAACCACAGTGATCCCTGCAACAGTCACCCCCAGATTAGACTACTGTAACTCACTCTATGCAGGGCTACCCTTGAGACTGACCCAGAAACTACAGCTGGTCCAGCATGCAGCAGCACAAGTTCTCTCAGGAACTCCATTGACAGCACATATTCAACTGGTGCTCCACCAGCTGCACTGGCTCCAGGTTGGATCAGGTTCAAGGTTTTGGTATTAATCTTTAACGCCCTAAACAGTCTGGGACCGACGTATTTATGGGACCACCTCTCCTGGTACATCCCCCAAAGAACATTATGCTCAAGAGAGAAGAACCTGCTGGTGATCCCTGGCCCAAAAAGTATCCAGCTGTCCTCAAACAGAGCACCAACCTGATGGAACTCTCTGCCAAATGACATCCATGCCCTGTGGGACCTAATTCTGTTCCACAGGGCTTGTAAGACAGAGACGTTCTACCAGGCTTATGGTTGAGGACGGCAACAGTTTTTTAGCTAGCCTGGTTCCTACCTTCCTTCTCCCCCATCAGGAAAGGATACTAAATTGTGTGTTTGTTGGTACCATCTGAAATTGTTATTTGAAATTGTTAGCTGAATTGTTAAACCTATTTTAATCTTAATTTTTAATTTTAAATCATTCTGTATATTTTTGGAAATGTTGTTCCCTGCCCTGAGCCCTGTTTACAGGGGAGGGCAGGTTATAAAATCTAAACAAATAAATAAATAAGTAAATAAATAAATAAAAATTACACAAGATGGTTTGTTGGTTTTGCACCAACAGATTTACATGACTATTTCTTGGGAATTTTTATTACACACTCCTCCCTATCTCACACCAGAAGTCCAGCATAAGACCATGAGCCACTGTGGACCAAGCCTATGATTCTGGGAGTTCCATGAATTGAGTTCCTTGAGTTTTCCCCTAAACTTTAAAGGACTAGATGCATGAGGGCCAGATTCAAATCCAGAGAGTGGCATAAAAGAAGGAGAGAGAAGTGGGGAGGGGAAGGGAAAGGAGTTTGTAAGCCACTCTGAGACTCCAAGTGAAGGGCAGGGCATAAATCCAATCTCTTCTTCTCTTCTTCTTCTTCTTCTTCCTGTGTCATTTTCCCCAACCTGAAAACAGAACAGAGTGAAGCCTTACAAGCCCTCTCCCTTCCACTATCCCAGTTCAAATCAGGCCCCCATGCCCCTGATATTTAAAGGAAAAATGCTAAGAGTTCCATTCACGGAACTCACAGCATCACATTTGGTTTGACCCACAAAGTTTCACACATCCATATTTCTGAAACAAACATTAGGTAATCGTTAACAAAAAAGAAAAGAAGCTGAAGCCTCTGAAATTAAAAGCTCTAAAACTCAAGTCCTTGCCTTCTTGTAAACCTCTGCCAGTTTCCATGGGTTTCAAGAGCTCATTTTCCAGCACTGAATGTACATTTTTTGTTGAGCGGTTTTCCTGAGAAGTCTGAATTCTGTAGTATTCTCCTGACCCATCACCAGGAAGGGGGAAAAAAAAAACATTTTACCATAATGATATCCATTTTGTGTTGTGTTTTTTTTTAAAAAAAGAATCAATATACAGAGTCATACCAGATTTATAACACATCTCCTTTATTGCCTTTTCCTCTTCTATATCTTCTGGAGTCTTAGACAATAAGTATGATGCATCTGCAGGAAATATTTTTTAAAGTTTCTTTTTAGTAAAGATTTCTTTCTGCACCACACAAATTAGAATGGCACTACAATTGCACCAACAATGCAAATGATAATAGAATTGTCTCTGGTGATACACAGTGGTGTATAATTGTGAAGAAACAGGCAGGCAGTGCAATCCTAAGCATGTATACTCCAAAGTAAATCTCATTCAGTTTATTTGGACTTACTCCCTAGAAAGTATGCTTAGGATTGCAGCCAGAGAATCCCAGCTTCCTGTTTTTAAAATTCTGTATAAAGTAGAAATTGAAGATATGCTGGAGGGAACTGAATGCAATTTTTCTGTACTCCCTTTAGAGCCAGTATGTTTAAAACAAGTAAAAAAGAGTCACTGCAATGGTGAAAAGTTATATGTGGCTTTGGGAGTGAGATTATCTTGCACATTCGGCTTCCTTCACTTCTTCCAGGTGTTTCACTGGGAAATGTGAGATCGACTCATTGGTTCCCCACTGAGGGTAGACCCTCTCAGTCAAGACTTTGTGCTTTGGAAAGTACCCAACTTAACCTCTGATGCCAACCTTGAATTAACTGAACTGCTATAATTGTTTTATATGCAAATACTAATGTCTGGCAAACTATTTACATTTCTCTTCCTGTTCTTCCTCTTCTTCATCCTCAAGATTGATGATAATAATCAGTGGTGGATGAATAGGTCTTAATATGCTTTCTTGACTTTTTGTGGAATCTTGGTTTGGGGCAGGATGCAAAATCCCTTCCTGAACTTCCCTTTGTAATGTTGGATCTGTAGGACGAAACTTTAAATTCAGTACAACATTGTTGCATGACAACATCCAAACCATGTACAACCCGAGTATAACTCTGAAGTCCACAACTCACAGAAGGCAAGGGAATAGTTTTAGACACGGTGGTGGTGGAAACTGCTGTCAAGTCACAGCTGATTTAGGACAACCCTGTAGGGTTTTCAAAGCAAGAGATGTTTAGATGTTTAGACCTTTTCCAAATACTAGCCAGGGCTGACCCTGCTTAGCTTTCGAGCTGACGAGATGTGGCTAGCCCAGGCTATCCAGGTCAGGGCTTTAAACACTACATGCTATATTACTAACACTGTTATATTTTTTAACATTATTGTTTATCATCTGGACATTCTTCAAATAATTACAGTATTCTGAAAAATCAAAAATATAAATATACATACATATTAAATACTATAATCTTCCATATGTTGTAATATTGATTTCCACACATAAAAGCAATTTCTATCTTCTATTTTTAAGAAAAAGTTAACTTGATCATTTTAAATCTTTGAAGTGGTCAATCCATTCCTTTGTACTTGGCTCAGATATTTTCTTCCAATAATATGCAAAAACTAAACAGGCCACTGTGATTGCATTTTAAACAAAACCTTGTAACCTGTTTGGAATCTTGTTGCTATACAGAAACATTTAGACATATACTTAATGAGACTACTTTTTCATAGCCATTTACCAATATTAACTAGCACAAAGGCATCTCCACCACCTATGGGAAAAAGTGGCAATTTTGGCCTCACAGCACCAACATTTCCCATTCATTATCCTATGTCATGGGTCAGCCATGGCTCAGTGATAGTGAGGACTTCTCAGGACAAGAGGACTCCTCAGGAGATGAGGAGCCCCATGTAGCCAGCCTTGAGTTAATATGAGAACGTGAACAGCAGGAAAATGAGCTTCAGGCTTATCAAGATTCAGAGACAACAGCAGGTGAACCTCAGTTGGCCATTCCCAGCCCACCAGTAATCCACACCCTTAGTGGATCACAGATGGAGGCTGAAAACAGAGCTACAGACAAAACGGCAAAGTGCATGCCTTCTGGCCCGACGCCAGCAGCTTGCTGATAACAAAGATGAGTAGTTGCAGGATTACTTCTGAGCCACATGGGACTATAAAAACCAGCCAAGAAAGGCTGTTAGACATGGACACAACACATATGAAAGATGCTAAGCCACCACCTCTGCCTTGCTTGACTTCTGACACCTGATACTCAGAGCCTGCAAGTCAGTACATTCTATAATATTTTTTTTGCCAATTTATTAGTAAGTGCCATTGATTGGTCATTTCATAAAGTTTTCACAAATGGTAAAGGCTTTACTAAATATTAATTATATTCTAATTAATGCAGATAGGACAAATGGTAAGACATATAGAAAAAGTGGAGGCTTTACTAAACATTAATTATATTCTAAATTCTTTGACCATTTGCCCATATTTTTCCCCACAAGTTTATTCTAATAATAAATGAAAAAATTACATAGTAACTTGTCTCTACCAAACATGATTTTTTCCAGACGTCATTATATTTGTTAATATTCTCCTCTTCCTTAAGTGAGCATTTAAAGAAACTTTTCATTTTCAAATACTGATAAACTGTGATTATACAACCCCCTCTCCCACAGTGTATCATATGAAATCATCATGTTATATACCACAAACTGATCCTACCTTGCACAGTCCAATCTCCCTAGTGCTTCAAAGTCACTTGTACCTATTTAAAATGTGCATCTTTAATAACTGAAGGGAGAGGGGATATTGGTGGGACTATTTTAGTTCTACATTTTTACCATATCCTAATCATATAATCTATAACACAATAGTTATCACTTCTCAGCCTTTTGGCTAAGATCAAGTGTAGTAAGGTAAAGGTAAAAGTTCCCTTGCTCGAAAGCCAGTCGAATCTGACTCTAGGGTTGCGGTGCTCATCTCCGTTTCAAAGCCGAAGAGCCAGCGTTGTCTGAAGATGTTTCCGTGGTCATGTGGCTGGCATGACTAAACATCAAGGCGCACGGAACGCTGTAACACAATAGTTATTTATATAATATTTTCCTTTTTTACCTAGCCAAAACCAAACTTTGAGTGGTATTTTGTTCCATTAATGTCTCAGAATTTATGCCTCTAACATTCTTTAGCATGGGAACAGTGTATGGCAAGAGTAATCGGACCTCTACCAGCCAGGTATGTTTTTTGCAAACTGTGCACATGTGTTTTATGGAACAGTTTATGGAACAAACTATTTCATAAATTATGTATACACAGTTCTCAAGCTAACACACATGGTACCTTGCTTTCCCTGTAGATTCTTGACCTAGATCATACTAGGTCATCTGCCATGGCTACAACCTTACTTTTTTAACCATGCTCACCTTCTCCTCTAACTCTTACATTTCTCTCCCAAAAGCTACCTCTAATAAAATATATATTTTTCCAGGTGGAATCCATTATGAATGAAATATCCACTTACAGTCTGCAGGGAACATATATGACAGTATCCCATTTGTGGACATTTCTATATAGAAAAAGCCTTTTCCGGCTGGGGCCAGATGGCCTCCTGGTATCACTACTGTGTTATTTCTGTCACCTGTACAAATGGCTTGCCCAATGGCCATCCATATACAAGACACTTTGACACCTTTGCCAAGAGAAGGCGACTTGCCAGCGGTGTCTTCCCAGGCCTGGGACAGCTATGCCCAGTACATTAACACATCAAACGTATTCCCTGACATGACACATGGTCAATAGCAGAGGCTGGAGTGGGATGCCCAACTCCTAGCCAATCAAAACATACCTTGCCTGACAACGCATGGTAACCAGAGATGGGAACGCCTTCCCACTCTCTCATTATTGGGTAAATGGCCATGCCTGGTGGTGACGGAGGGGGGGTATATCTGCAATGTTCCCTATGGGAAATAGGAGTTGAGTTAGAGGAGAGAATGGAGTTCTTCTCTGGAAAACAAAGAGTTCTTTTGTACTGACTGTTTGCTAGGCAGCCCAGCTGGACTTAGCTGCCCACAGCACCATGGGGTTACTTTTCAAGATCCCCTGGTGAGACCTTGGACTATTTCATCTAATACCTCTGAAAGCCTGGTAACTATGACTTACTTCTAGTGTGTAGCTAGAGCTGAACAAGCTATAGGTATCTATTGTTTCTTATCTTTTGCTAGTCTCTTGTATGCTTTGCACTGAATAAAGATCATTCATATTTGTAATTGTCTCTGATGCTGTAATTGAACTCCAAGGCTAAATCTTGTGTCTAGGCTGACCACAGAGCTACCACTTTGAGAGAAAAATTGTGTGCATCTCTGAGTTAGAGTTGTTGATGTGTTAAG